TATTACCATCACCTATTGTGATTAAATGTCACTCTGTAAAAACAAATGTTAAACAACAGACAGCTCAGGTGTCACAGAAACAGGCAGAGGCTGGCATCCAATCTGAAACACCTCAAAGTGAAAATACACCATCACATTGCACAGTTAGCAGGGTGCCACCTGTTGGAGCCAAGCAGCCACACCCTGACCAGTCAGACATTCAGCCAAATAACGAAACCAAACTGACAAAACAGAGGCAGGAAAAGTTTGCAGGTGAGACATCTGAAAGGAGAAATGAGCCTACAATACCAAAACAGGCTGCATTAGAGAAGCTCAAAGCTGCCGTCAAAACAATGGAGCAGCTTTATGTCTTTGATAGAAATGAATGGAAGCGTAAAACCCAAGCTCCACAACCAATCACAGGTAGCCACGTGTTGTCACTTATTGCCAGGGAGGAGCAGGGAGCAGAGGAGCTGGAGACAACAAACGCTGACAGGATTCCTCAGTCTTTAACAAATACCACAGACGCAGGCAAACCACAGGAAGATAAAGGAGCTCTGAATATTATACATGTTCCATATAATGATGACACGTTTAAAATACAATCACAGCAAAGTAAAACATTTAGTAACAAAAGTGTTCTTCATTTTGGCAATAAGGCACGTGTCAGCATTAGTTCAGTCAGTAACTCTATTCCACAAAGCTCTGCGCTGCAAACATCATCGACTATGAAAAGCTCCAACACACCGGCGGCTCCACTGTCTGTGAAAATAGAGCCCCCGAAACACGGCCAGGTGGAGCAGGGAAAGGTCAAAATCATTCCCACTAATCCCACTGTCGCACAGGCCTCCTCGGACTCTGAGAACTATTTAACCATACCGGGGCTGGGGTACACGAATGAAATCAAACTGCTGAATCGAGAGCCTGTTTCGAGGGAGGTGGGTGCAAACGTTAGCCAAATCAAAACACCTGAGCAGAAAAGGTCTCCGTTAATCATGGAGTACCCAGCTTCAAGCATCTACCATCACGCTGGTGCAACAACAGGGCCTCAAGCACAACAGCAGGTTTTGTGTTTCTCCCCCTCTTTCCCAGCTGTGTCGCCTACACCTTCTCCCGGAGAGACAGTCCCACAAACCCAGCGCAAGATGCTTTTGGATCCCACGACAGGACATTATTACCTAGTGGACACTCCCATACAGGCCACCACAAAGAGACTGTTTGACCCCGAGACAGGCCAGTATGTGGATGTACCCATGCCCCATTCTCCTGTGGCACCTGTCACCCCTGTCACCCCTGTCACACCTGTGCCTCTCTCTTTGTCCCCACTGGCACTGAGCCCAGGAGCGTACGCCCCCACATACATGATCTATCCGGGCTTCATCCCCTCGCCCACTCTGCAAGCCCAGACGGTGTTGCCACAGTCACCATGTCACTCTGAGGAAGCAGGTGGAGAAAAGGTAAAAAATGGCAGAAGCCCTAGGCCGGAAACTAATGCAACAGGCGGTGAGAGTGCGTACTACAGCGCAACAGGTGAGACCCCTCCAGGGCCGCTACAGCTACCTGTGAGCTTGGGACATGTGACCGCCAGAGGAGGTGCAGCGAGCTCTGACAGGAAGCCAGTTATCAGCATCACAACGCAACAAGGTCCAAGAATCATCGCCCCGCCCTCCTTTGATGGAACAACAATGAGCTTTGTAGTGGAGCATCGGTGACCAAGGAAACATCTCATCATACATGTAAGTTAGCACCTATTACAGAGTGGCAGTTTGTGTGTGGATGGTGGACACAGCACCATCCTTCTCCAATTCCCCTCCAACTTGATTAAAAACACCAGATGAGGTGTTGTCCCCTTCTCTGCTACTACTTCTTCTTTGTGTCCATATAAATGTGCTTTAATTTGACTGAAACAGTATACTTTTTAAAAGTGTTGCACACAAGCTTACTGACAGCTTGACTGAATCCATTAAAACAGACAAATTAAGTGCAGAAAAAACTGCCATTGTTATGTTTACAGTTAAAAAGTCACATTCATATTAGCACATGTATTGTGGCTCAATGAAAATTTTATTGTTACAATATTTCTTAATATATACAGTATAATTAGAAATATATTTCCTTGTATGGAAAACCAACCATTACTTAAAACGTAGCCTAATTTTAAGACATTGTTGGCATATAACCATGACAATGTAACCTTAAAAGATCACCCTGATTGTTTCGTTATTCATACAAATTCAGTTTTCAAGCAGAAGGAAACTTCCTCCTGTCTATGTCTTAGCAGCATGTGGATGTCTCTGAGCTACTCTTTCCAAATGTAGTTCAATACTATACCAATTGAAAAATAGCTCCAAGTCACTTTGATGTTGTAAGGTAAGTAAGAAATATTGAGACTGAAAGTTAATTCTTGACCTTGGACAGAAATGGAAAAAAAGGAAATGAACCTTTGGCTAAGATTTTTTTGTCAAACTAAAATATAAGGATTAAATGCTATTTTAAGGAACTGAACAAATTGCCCTTTGTCCAATACTAAATGAAAAACTAAAAAGAAAAATGCATTGTCATGAAGCTAAAACAAGGCTGCTTGTTTGAGACACAGTTTTCACAGGACCATGTTCATATCAAATATACATGTGCACAAGCTCCTATATATACACAAATAACTACTCAGTTGTAGCAATGTGCATATAATTGAAACCATTTTTACTTTCCACTCCTGTTAATTAATGCTCCATGCCCTAAAGTGACATTTATATTGATATTTTGAGGTTGTTGTTGCTGAACCATGTGGTCTAACAGTACAGCAGTATAACATTCACACAGTCATGTCTATCTGCATAAAGCTAATGTATTACATGAGTTTTTATATCATTTTTGTGTTGTAAATGTTGTTAAAGCAGCAGTCCAACACAGCAGTGGCATGTCAGTGTTAATAGACATGCAGTAGCTTCATGACAGGCAACCTGACTCCACTGATCTGTAGCAGGGCTTGCTGGGAGACTGGATTTTCAGCCGCAGTCCAGAGCGAGTTCTCTTTTCTCTGCATTACACATCGTCGGGCTATTTTAATAGTGTGAGACGAGTTTGTTTACATGGTTTATTCTCAGGGTTGGAAAGTGTCACAGGAAACTATTCCAGACCCCTTACATTAAGTTATTCTTAATCTGTGTTATAAATGCTTTAATTACTCAGATAACATTACAGTCCATTAATGTGTTCGTTCCTTGGTCGAGACATTTCATGAAACTTTCTAACCAGCTGGATGAGCTGGAATAATCCTTCTTGCATTATTAAACTAACGATCAGTCCACAGTTGAAGTACAAAATAATTATTACGGGATAGAAATTTATTTAATAATTAAAATAAAATAAACATAATAACAACATGTTGAAACTTTTTAGGCTGTCCGTTCAGATAAATGTATTCACATTAAGTTATCTGATTGCTCATGGAACAGTACTAGCTAAATATGTAGCTGAAAAGTTAACTTTCTAAATTTCCCACAAACCTTGCTGAGGGTTTTAGACACCGCTTTCCAAACACAACAGTTTCTTTTTCCACAAAGTTTACAGTTTTAGAGGAATAGAGTGCACACTGTAAAATAGTACTTGTTGATATCATTAAAGTTTTCAACTTATTTAAGTAAAAGCAAAGCAAGGTCTGTTTTTTTAGTGACCTGGAAATAGTTTCTAGATAGAGAAGTTGGTGTTAAGTTATATGTGATTTTTATGACCTGTGAGCACCACAAATCAAATGCAACTCAGTTCTACTGAGTTAAGTGTTAGAGTCAGAGATCTCATAACCTTATTAAATAAAACCATCGTTTTCGGCATGTACTGTGGGGACTTTGGTACGTCTCAGACTTGTCAGGTGTACCTCTATGTTGTCAGTACAGTCGATACTGTACTTTTTCACGGTTTATCCATCAGCTCCGACTCAACCTTTAACTGCACTGTGTAAACCTCAGCTGTGATTTAGGCTTAATGCTTGCTTATTAGCTTGCACAATTACTGTTAGCATGCCATATGTCACATTTACCAAGCTTTCCTCAGTATTCCAGGCTAATGGACTCACATGTTTTATCACATTTATCATACACAACAAAAGTACACTCATTTCACTAATAATGGTGTAGCCTGCCAAACATATTACTTCAGAAACTCAAGTGTAGCCTTGTTGCATAGGCTCTTTTTTAGCTGTAATTCCTGCTCATTCACACACAACACATTTTACACGCATTTAGTTCCACCATAAAGTTCCTGTAAATTTCCACTTTCAGGTTAAATTAATTTGGGCTTTTCTGCTTGTGACAGCAGGAAAGGCACAGGTGTGACTAATAACATTAATTATGACTTTGTTATTTATGTGTCCCAGTAGAGACCCACATGTGTAATGCACTAACTGAAACACCAATGTGAAATTCAACCATTATTAATGTTATGTAACTGTAAATGTGCACCATAATCAAATATGCGTACCTACATACAATAAAAAAATATGAAAACATTTGAAAGAATGAGAAGGAAAATAGTGTGTGAACAAAATTAAGTAGTCAAATGGGCCACAAAACATTTTCTATCTGTCCCTACCTCTCTGAAGCATTACCAACCCTCACCATGTTTGGTTCTGGCAGTACTAGTTTACAGAGGCAGAAGAAGTCTTAAGCTCTTTTACTTCAGTAAAAACAGAAATACCACAAAGTACAATACTCTGCTACATGCAAAAGTTAACATCTTAAGAGGAAATACATGAGCATTAGCATCAAAATATACTTATAATACCAAAAGTAAAAGTATTTATTAAAGCAGAATGGCTCATTTAAAAATAGTTTAGTGATGCTAGGTGTCTGTAATGTTGCAGCTGGTAAAGGTGGTAGTGACTTCATCTATTTTATCTACTGCTGGGTAGCTTAATCTTACAATATAATCTACCATATGGACTAGAAAGAATTATTTGGGGAGATTACGTTTACAAGCATCCCTCCCAAAACCCTTGAATGAAATAAAGGGAAATGAATGACAAATTGTATTGTTTACTGTGGTTTTATTTTAACAGCACTACTTTAGCACAATGAATTTGTAGCAGGTTCAAAGAAGATGCTGTTGTAGCAACAGATATCTGCCATGTGTACATAGCCTATATAACCAGAAGTTTAAATAAGCTTCACTTTTCAACCATATTTAGCCCAGTTTTAGCCCAGACATTTTGACCTGTTGACATGCTAATCATGAGATTCATAATTACTGTGAGACTACATGTTCATGCTCAAAAAAAACAACATTTGCCCCTGCAGCATGTAGGTCTACAGGTCGTTGACAAAGTCTTCTCCAAAATCAATCATCTGTCTCAGTAGCAGTGTATCAATGTCATCATCTGTGGTGATCTCTGAGTGGTAGTTCTTCACAGGAAAGATGCAGGTCAGTGGAATACCCAGCGACACACTGAATTTCTCCATCTAAATGTAAACAATTTGACAAATGAGAAATGACAACAAAGTCCCAAACAAAGAATTTTTGTATTAAAAAATATATTCCAACTTGAATAACAAGTCAAACCAAAGACTTACCTTTTCCTTCAGGGACTTGCTCTTATACACATTCCTTAGATCTTTTTTGACTTCTGGACAGGCTTCATCAATTTTGGTGAGAATAGTCAGTTGGGGAATCCCTGCCGATACAGACCAGAATGTGAGTCAATGATGATCACGTTTGTCAGGTTATTTGATTAACTTATTAAAAACCCAATAACTAACCCTAACCCTTACCCATGTCCCTGGCTGCAAGTCTGACTTCCCTCATCTTTTTCACAGTTTCATCACTCAGTAAATCTACTGTGCTGGCAGGGACGACACAAACCAAAACATGAACTTTGTCATTTAGAGTGGGCTTGTCGTTGTAGCTACTATCATCCTTAGATATGGTAGAGAGAGGATTGAACTGGAAAACAACATGAAATTTAATTAAAGAATGATTTTTGCAAGTAAATAGTTTCTTCTATATAAGAATATATTTTTATGTGAATACAATTGTTTATTCAAAACGGATCACAAGGCTGGATTGTGTTACTGAAATAAAGCCAACAAAGTTTAATGAAGTGATTAAATAACTGAAGTAATTCAGTAATTGTACTTTGTAACCATCTTTTATGTTTCCCCTCATGGCCAGTTTGATGTCCTCCACACCAACTCCTTTATTAGTGTCCTTCTCAAGGCCCATGATGTCAGTGAACTCAAAAGAGTAAAATGTTCCTGGTTGTCCTTTCTGGATTTTGTAAGTTTTGTACTGTAAAACAGAAAGGTGCAGTTATGATGACAAAAATACAACATAATGATCAATGACCATTTCTCATTACTTTCATCACAATTGCTCAATACTGCTGTTGGCCTGATCTGTACTGGAATTAACATTGCAGTTGCACATAAAAGATTTAATAAATTCAAATATACATTGAAAGAGTTGTTACATGTCATGAATATTAACAGAGCATTAATACATTGACCTTAAAATGGTAAAACACACACACAAGTGATTCATACTTCAGTGGTGAAGCTGTCTTGAGAGGTTGCATCAACCAAAGCTCGACCAGTGATTCTGCCTTGTAGAAGACAGAGTTGATGAAACTGGACTTTCCAGAACCAGCCGGTCCATGAAGCTGAAGTTTTAGTTTTTATTATATAAGAGATCAAATAACACATACTCACCCCCATTGTATTGTCCTCTTATTGTCCACTAAAAGCTGACAGCAAATAGCACAAAACATTAACAAAGCAAACTTACATGTAAGATGAATTCACCAAATCGGGAGCTAAAATCGGAATGTTTTAAATGTCTTACTCACAGGAGTGGGGCTGGCAGGTTGATATATCTTACTCACAGGAGGGGGGCTGGCAGGTTGAGATGAATTTTGTCCCATTGCTACAAAATAAAATATTTTTTATTTATAACTTGTAGTAAAGACAGAGAATAATTCAAACTATTAATTCAAGATAACTGGACTGACTTGCAATTTATCACTGATAAACCAGACTCAGTGTGCAACAATGTTGTAGATAATATATATTATAATATAATAAACTGCATATATTTATTTTTAATGACAATATTTAACATAAAATAAAAATAGAAAGTGACTCATGCACAGCATCCATTTAAAAAAAAAAACAAGACTTAAAGTAAATGTATAGCTTATTAAACTGAAGCAAAATCATATCAACAAAGAAGCTTCAAGCTACTATAGTTAAATTACAAAATTCTTACAATGCAGTTAACTATTGCATTTAAGGATAGATATAAAAAAAACGAAGTAGGTACTGAACTCGTGAATTGCTGGGGTGTGACTCTCTTGAGTCGATGTCTACTGGGATGCTGCAGCTTTTTAAACATGTTGACAACCTATTGACTTCCTTTCACTTTCTTTTTGTCACATGATTTCTTTGAAATGGGCTTTCTCTTCTGAGGTCATTATTTATTAATTAATCTAAGTACCCACTTTAACCCAAACCGGTATTTTTAACATGATACATAATATTAACATAAATCAAACCTTCATCATCACATCATAACTTATTTTTTTCAAAAGTGATTTTGTAACAGACAAATTATGTTGTCCTGCCAATGTCCATATCAGAAAACACTTCTATGTTTCATTCTAGAGCATGAAAAAAGTCATTTTATCAGGACACAAAACTGTCTTTGTCCACTTATAATATTAAATAAAAGCCAGGAGGAGGAGTTGATGTTGTTGTTGTTGTTGTTGTTGTTGTTGTTGTTGTTGTTGTGTTTGTAACCCCTCTCCAGACCTGACTTACAAGTAACCAGAATACCTACAAGTCCAGTAAATAAGCAATAGTATTTATTAGTTGATTTATATTTTGTAATAAATTGAATCTGCAAAGTAACTTAAGTTCATCTAGTGAAGTAAAAAGTACAATGTTTCCCTCCAAAATGTAGTAAAGTAGAACTATATAGTATCAGGACTTGGAAATAGGCCCAAGTCAAGTACAAGTACCTTACAATTGTACAGTACTTGAGTCAATGTATTGAGTAAATGGCCTAACCCTAATCCTAACGCAAAGATACAGAAAATACAATACATAAAGCAAAACAACACAAATACAGTACTCTCTAACAGACTAAAGATTAAGACAATACACATCCCATGTTTATAATATTTTCCAAGCATATGAGTAATTGAAATTGCACTTTTCAGCAAATTCAAGGCAGTTTAAAGATTTAACAGGAATAATGCGCTTAGTTCTCCTGGTTGCTAATTTGCAATAATCCATCCAGCTGGAGATGAAGGAATACATGCTAAAGCAGGCAGACCATGAATACATATGAACTACCAAAATACAGACATAAAGAGTGACTCCCTGTCTCTCTACTCTTGAAAACCTGAAAATGAATTCTCAGTTTCTCATGCACTCATATATACACACTTAGAACTAGTCACAGTCCATTCTCAGCTAATGTGTCAGAGAAATAATACAACTGCATGAGCATGAGGGGTACATGTCAGCTGGGTGCGTGGCAGGCAGGGGCCTAGCATGGGGTTGAGTAGTGGTGTGAAGAGGAACACAGGGTGTGTGTGTAACTGGTGGTGGGGGCGGTGGGGGTGTTTGCGGCGCGAGGGACGCGGGGGCATGGCTGGGATAGTGATGCAGGAGGAAAAGGTCAGGCAATGTGAAAGTATTTGTTGTGCTGATGCAGGCAGAGGACAGCTGCTCGGAGAGATCAGATGCTGCTGCAGCTCCAGCTTGGAAGCGAGTCTGCGGGTCTGAGATGGGGTCAACTTTTTATAGCCCCCTCCCCCTCTGCTTTTTCCTAAACAGGGAGAAAGAGGTGGAGAGCACTGCCGATCTCCAGCACTTTTACGTAAACAAATGGAGTAGCATTCCCCCAGCAGGGATTTGGCTGAATCTGGTCAGCTGGTTCAGAACCAGGAACTGAACCAGCTGACAAAAGCTTATGATAATGTCTTTCACAAATCATAAAAATAAATTAAATTATGTTTCCGCTTCTAAATTCTCACCTTGTTTTCACTTCATCCTTCTGAGTTTAATACCCATTTTATGTCTTCTCTGTCACCCCTAGACATCTTCCCCGAAGAATCTGCCTTCATTCACCGAAAGTGCAGTTTTCCACCCTGCATGTGATCTACTTCCAGGACAACATCCACCAACAACAATTTCTATCCCCACTATGTTGTGTTGTTTATCCTTGCAGCAGATGATACTGTAATCCTTATGCATTGCAGCACTTTGGAGGGTAAACATATTCATCCACGTCCTCTGGCTGATGCTCTGCCATATTGCTATATTAATCTGCTTTGTAATACTTTCCATTCAGCTGCTGTCTAGAACTCTTGAAATGCTGTTGGGGCCCTGAAACATGTCTATTCAAAAGGAAACAAGGCAAGTCTTCTGTTACAGCTACAGTTACACTATAGGCCAAGCTACTATTTTATTATTATGAATTTAATGCTACCATGTCTTTAAAGTGAGACTATGCAACCTTTGAAAAGCAAAAAAACAAATCTTCCTTTTACAAATGAAATGTTGAACTCATTAGCAATTCAATGCATTTAGGGAGTGTGCCGCTACAACGTTTCTTGGTTTGTTATGATCGTGTTAGCTAATGTTAACAATCCTGATGGATATTGTTGTGTAACTGACATTGCTGAGTCCGTTGGTCCGACATTATGTCTCTAGCTGTTACACTCTGTTTTAGGATGTCACAGACGTTTCAATGGTTATTATCACAAAGACAAAGCAAGAAGTAAACCCACCATACCTCTCCAGGAGACACGTCTCCCGCGTGTGGTCCCATTACAATAGTTTTGAGTATGGATGAATTAAGCTGGATACGTTACAACGAGTCAACCTTGGTTCTGCGGGAGTATGGGGTATAACCAATGTGTGAGTGAGAGCTGTTCAATAGAAAATCCGATGTGTTCTCACTAGATTTGTTCCTTGTGATCAATTCAGTCTCTGTTTTTCATGGGCAGTATTTCTAGGCGCAGACGAGATGTGGAGAGTATCTGTCATGGTGGCCGACGGGATTGTATCTCTGCTTTTTGCCAATGATGTGGCCCTGCTGGCCTTATCAGAATGCTTATCTGACTGTTGTGGTTAAGAGATGCTGAGCCTGAAGGTGATGCTCTCAATTTACCAGACACAAGCGGCAAAAAAGAGCTTCCTTTACGGGGCGGCTGTGCGCATGCATAGAGAGGGTGACGAGCTTAGGCATCCGGAAAGACCTCAGGGTAGAACCTCTGCTCTTTTGTGTTTGGATGAGTGAATGAAGGTTCTTCTGGCACCTATATTGGATGTCTGCTGGATGCCTACCTGTGGAGGTATACCAGACACATCCAAATGGGAGGAGATCATGGGGCATAGCCTATCTTACATATCTCATGTGGCCTGGGAATGCCTCAGGATCCTCCAGGAAAAGATGGATGGATGGACTTTTAGAAAACAATTAACAGAACACTCTCAATTCAATGTGACCTCCTGTAACTGCTGCTTGTGACAACAGTGGCCACTGTTAAGTTATGTAGTGTTGCTTTAATTCGCAAAATAAGATAATTACTTATAGTCAATACAACCCCTATTGTGTATTTTACACAGTTTTCTGAAGACAGGGACCATTTGTCTGCACCAAATTAGAAAAAAAGATTCACAGATTAAGGGGTAATTTTGAATCACCCCCTTTTTTTTCAGGAAATTTAAAAAATAATGAACTGCATTTATTGTTTTTAAAATAATATACTTTAAAGCTGTCCCAAGTAAACAACAAATATCTGACGTTGCTTTGTGTAATATTACTACTCTCCAACACTGATTTTCCACATTCATAATAACATTTACATGTGTTTTAGTCAGTCAGTGGCTCAAGTTCTACTTGCAGTATGTGTAACCTCTGTGTCATGACTCACAAAATGCTGCTAGTACCTGCACAACTGATAATGCTGTAAATAAGTGGTGTATGTTTATATTCTAAAAGCACGCCCCTTGCATGTATGTTGAGAAGAAAAAAAGAAACACAACGTGTGTTGCTCAGATGAAGTGGAGCTGGGACTCTGGTTTAACGGTGTACTTAGGTCTGTATTTCCTAAGTAGTGTTGGGCCTAATGAGTCAAAGCCAGCTGAGGCATTTAGGGGATAACTTCCTCTATTGGCGTTCGTTTATTTTACACTTTTGTGTAATGAGATGGGAGTTGGTGCGTGTCCATGTTTGTGGCTGTGAGTTATGTCTGGCATTTCAGCATTCTGTGAGCGTACAACTAGGAGTCATGTTACTTCACTGTAGACAGGAGCATACAGACTGTACATGTGTTGGGTGTGTCTTTACACACAGCAATGTCAGTTTCTCTTGTTTAAACGCCTTGACCTCTTTAGTTTAAATGTGTTGAATTGAGGTTTTCATTAAACTGACACATGACATCCACATATTTTATAATTGCTTTCTGTACTGTGAAGTTCTGAGGTTATTTTTTTTCCTGTCCAGTTTCCTTTTGAATATGCATTGGGCCATCATAGGTCATTGTGCTATACTTGACTCAGTTATACCAGCATCCCATGTAGAATTAATGCAAACTGTAGATTGCTATTTTAAATCTAAAGAAATATTAAAGGTATTTGGAGCTGCTGGTCAGTCTATGTACCTGAATTCTGTAAATTACATGTTATTATGCCTCTGTGACAACAGACTTTATATAAATTGCCCTATGAGTTGATTTCATTATAAGTGATATGAATTCATGCAGTGATTTGGAAGACTTGTTGTTGACTGTGCAGTAGATTGGACATGGTTTGCTCTTCAGAGCAACTTGATGTTTAATGCATTTTGAGGTGAAATTTTACTTAAATTTGTACATTTAATTCACAACATATTGTAATTCTTAATGATAGTATTATAATTATAATTCTAAATGAATGTGCCCTTGAGCCAGTGCAAGTTTAATAGTTATTTATTTAGAAATTAAAATTTAATTAAAAGTACCCAAAGTAAAAGAAGAGGAAACTTTTGAACTACAAGTCCAAATTGAGAGATATAATATATTACCCCTTGCCAGAGTTTTTAAAAGTATATGTTTGAAAGAAGTTGTCCAAAGGTGGTATATGATAAAACACATATTTCACTAATTATAGATTCATTAAATCCCATACATATCATTTTGAAACCCTGTGAAAACATAAATAAGAAATATATTATAATTTGTAAACTCCAGTAAACCAGCTATTGTAATGTTGTCATAAACATAAAACTCAAAAAAAAAAACCTCCCAAATGCATTTTATTAGTTTCTTGTATGACCTTTATCTGTGAATAATTAATGTACTTAATGCACTTAGATTGTCACTATTTCGTCACCAGCACTGACAGCAATGAATGGCTGTAAACATTGCTGATAGCAAGAGCACTATATGGACTTGTTCATTTTAAAATGAAACATTGTGAATTGTTTCTGGTGAGTTTTGCCCAAAGATGCACTGTAACATAGATAATATAATTTGTTTTAAAACATTCTTCCAGATGTCCTTCAACAAACCTGCTGACTTTGAGGTTAAATATGGGAAACTGACTGTATCAAAGCTTGCTTTTGTTTAAAGAAAGAGGGTTAGCCGAACGTGAGATGGTCTGAGATAAGTGTATTTATGAATGTTTAAGAAAAAGGACACATATTTGAATGAAGTGCCTTTATGGCAGTACTGCCACATAGTGGCATTGTATATATTTTATGCGTGATATCACCTGTGTTGCGTGGCTGCCCCAGAAAAAGACAGAGGTCAGGATGACAGCGGAGTGATACCTTGAAAGGAGAAGTGAGTGCTGTGTTTGCACTTACAAGGTTGAAAGTAATCAATATGATGAATGAGTGTCATGTAGACTGACAAGCCTACATATGTTTGCAATAAATTCAAAATGCAAGCTACTGAACATGTTTGTGTCCATGAATTTAAATCACTTTAAGGTTTAGTTGTGTTTGAGTGCAGCCTGTATCTTATCTTAAAATAACAAGAAACCTTGTGTCCAATCATTTAAGTATCAGCTCTAAAATGTACAACAAAATAAATGACAAGGGTCAAAAGGAATCAAACAGATTTATGCCAACAGAAGTACACATTTGGCATCTGCCAGCGTGCAAGGTTAGCTTTCTGGTGACACTGAAACATCACCCGGGCCGAGGCTTAAGTTTAACCTGACAGTTTGCTGCTGTGTTTACTCGGTTGCTGTGGATGCAGCGAGACTGGCAGACACTGGTTTTGCCCCCAGCTGCTCTCGGTGGTTTCTAAAGAATCTACATTAAGGCCCAGTTGTTGTATTTAGATGCCAGTAGGGGCTCTGATGTCACAGCTGTGACACAAGAAAAGTTAGATTTATTGCTTCACCTGGATCAACAAGTGTGTGATACATTTAGGCCACTAAGGTACATTTTGTCTCCTCGGACATGCCACAAACTGTAAGTACAAATTAACTAAACAAAATCGTTCAGCTAACAAAAATACGTGCTAATGTTGACAACCTACAAAGTATGGAGTAGAAAAAAAATCTTATTTTACCAAACCTGCTGTAATCTATACAGGTTCAAAATTAGGACTTTGCCATCTGGCCAATCTGAGTGCCAGATATTTTGATTATGCCATGTATGGTTGCAATAAGCACTGTGTACCCGATGAGCACTCTTGCAATTTGGTGTTGTACTAAATTTCAAAGCAGCAGAGGCAAAGCTATTCTGACTTGATGGTGTCTTTCAATTTCGATGATCCCATTTTGTAAGACAGATGTTCTGTTAAAAATCAGTAGTTCTTAATCTAAGGTAAGTCTCAGACTTAACAAAGCTCAAGATGTTATTAAATGTTTTCACAGGCTAAGCAGTACTGCTCTTGACAAATAAATGGAGTGTCCCTTTAACGGCATAAATTCAAAAGCCAAGTCAAAAATCAAAAGTGTTTCCAGTGCACATTTATTGTCAGCCAATTGCAGATCTAACAAACTGATTTCCTTCATATAGAAACACAAGTTGAGAGTAGCTCAGTAGTCTCAAAACTACCCAAATGTTTTTAGACAAACAGAGCAATTACAGCAACGTACAAAAAA